GACATAGTTGTTCCAGTCAGACTTATAATCACACTGAAACAAATTATAAATGAGACAATGAGGTTATGATGCATATTGGTTCTGAAGTTAAGAATAACATTACAATTATTCCCTTAAACATTTTGCACAAACGTGTAAATGAAGCACACAATGTAGATCCAATGTGGTTGCATTTAAAACATGGTTTTAAACCTAAAAGACACAATTCACGGATGAAACTGTCACTGTCACTTACATCACTTGACTGCGTATTCATGGTGCGACACCGCTGCAGGTGCAGGTTGTCAGGCAGAAGCATGTAGCTGTGAGGGATTTTTCTGTAACCAGCATACGTCTGAACAGCAGAGGCCTGCTTGGCCTGGACCACACTCATCATGTCCACTGGGGTGTGATACTTCAGCTTGGCCTTGTGGTAGTCCTTCTTGTAGTTCTTGTCACTCTGCAACTTAGCCACCTCCATGTAGTGAACAAGCAAAGGGTCATCCTGGAGGCTGCGGAAGCCAACATGGTGGCCTCTGGCCTTCTCATAAGCCTTCTTGTATTGGACCTGAAAGAAAAAGGAAAGGGAGTTAGTTACTTGTAGATGATAATTAATGCCTTAGTTACATGTAAAAAGGTGCTAAATATATTCCGCGTCTAGTAGATTTATAATTTACTTACATTGCTGGCAATATGTCTGCCTTGCTTGGCATGCAGGATAGGAATAGCATCAGGCTTCAGGTCATATCCCTTGGCAATATCTTCCAGCCACTTGTGTTTGTAGTGACTCTGGATAAGCAGAAAAGTGTTAGGACAATGTTTTGTACACAGATAATGCTGATTCCTTTGACATGCATATTTGGCTAATAAAACACATTACAACTTTGATTTTGATGTGTTGTGCTCTAACCTCGCTAAGGGTTTGGGCATTGAATTTAGCCTGAAGAAACTCAGGACTGTCAGCTGGCAGATGATAGGTGTGCATGAACTTCTCGCCAGAAGCTTTGTATGAAGTCTAGAGGGAAGGAAAAAGAACAGTTAAACCTGTAAATTCTTTCTAAGGGTCTTGTAGCAGAAGTTTTGGTCCGACTTGCATCACTATTTCAACACATTTTAAGAGATGCAAATGCACTGCATTTACTATAAAAAGAAAACATTTTTACATTGTCCAGCTGCTTTGTGTTGGTGAGAGCCAGAGCCATGTTCATGGCATCGGTCTTGCTTGTAAATTTCAGAGTACTGGGATGCTGGCGGTAGCCGATGTCATCCAGTGCAGCTTTAGCAGTTTTGGCCTTCTCGACATCCAGAGAACCAATAGGGACCCAGCCTAAGCCTTTACAGTAGTTGTTGTAATCTGACTTGTAGACATTCTGTGGATATATAGAGAACAGCATGTTATTATCTTCTAAGTTTGTAGAAGAGTTTAGAGTTCTTACTGTGCATATGTGCTTTCCTACTGTATATATAATGCATTTACTTATATGTGCACCAATTATACTCGCATCACACCATGGTAACATATAGGTGAAAAGTGTAAACATACATTACTCTGAATCTCCATCATGCTGCGACACAGATGCAGGTGCAGGTTGTCAGGCAGAAGCATGTAGCTGTGAGGGATCTTTCTGTAACCAGCATACGTCTGAACAGCAGAGGCCTGCTTGGCCTGGACCAAACTCAACATGTCCACTGGGGTGTGATACTTCAGCTTGGCCTTGTGGTAGTCCTTCTTGTAGTTCTTGTCACTTTGCATCTTAGCCACGTCCATGTAGTGAACAAGCAGAGGATCGTCCTGGAGGCTGCGGTGGCCAACATGGTGGCCTCTGGCCTTCTCATAAGCCAGCTTATATTTGTACTGTATAAAAGAAAGCATTAGGTATAAGTAACAATATTAGGATTTAGTAACATCTGAATAGATGTATTACAGTATTAGCATATTCACAACTTACATTACTGGCAATGTCCCTGGAAGATTTTGCTGCCACAATGGGAATAGCATCTTCCTTCACATGATGTCCTTTGAGCAGATCTTGACGATGAGCATAGGTGTAGTAATTCTAAATAAAATAATCATGGTGTTCACAATCACATATATAGCAACAATTTGATTTCTGTATACATTTCACATGTGCACAAAGGCTGGAAAATATCAGACAGAATCTGCAACTAACCTGGCTGATGTTGACAGCATTGTATCTGGCTTGCATCAGTTCAGGGGCATCGGCTGGGAGATGGTAAGTGTGCATGAATTTCTCTCCACTGGCCTTATACTCTTTCTGCACAATTACAAGGAAGGAACGGTTTATATATTTTCTGAAAAACTAATTCAAGGCCTAAAATCATGAGATTTATATTAGAGCAAATTAAGAAGTTATTCTGTTTCCTCCTTCTCACCGCATTTAAGATCTTGGCGTTGGCCTTGGCTAGCTCCATGCTCATGGAGTCAGTGGTACTGGTAAATTTGATGGTTTCAGGGTGCTGGCGGTACTTTTTCTCATTCAGAGCTGCTCCTGCTGTCTTGGCTTTTTCCACCTCCAGGGAGCCAATGGGGACCCAGCCAAGTCCCTTGACTGAGGTCTCATAATCCAGTTTATAGTTATACTGAAAAGTAAAACAGACATGTAAAAATGCAGTGTAAAAGACCTCGGCATCTTTTAGCCAGCACATAAAATATTTACATGCATTATGACACTAAAGACCCAAAAATTCAACTTACATTACTGGAATTATAGTTCATGGTGCGAGCAAGGTCCAGACTCATCGAGTCAGGCAGAAGACAGTAATTATGGTGGTGCTGCTTGTAGCCAGCGAAGGTCTGCACTGATGAGGCATGCTTGGCATGAGCGAGACTCATCATGTCCACAGGGGTGTGGTACTTCAGCTTGGCCTTGTGATAGTCCTTCTTGTAGTTCTTGTCACTCTGCAGTTTAGCTACCTCCATGTAATGAACCAGCAGAGGATCGTCCTGGAGGCTGCGGAAGCCAACATGGTGGCCTCTGGCCTTCTCGTAAGCTTTTTTATACTGGACCTAGAGGTTAAAGAGCATATAGGACCTATAATTATTTATCATTTCAAGAATTTTAATATATTATATATCTGGCACCGGGCATTTTGAAATGGAGTTTGAGTATAACTCTGAGAAGTTGGCTCAGTCTTTAAGAAAACTTACATCACTGGCAGCATGTCTGGCAGCTTTGGCAGCGATAACAGGGATAGCATCAGGCTTCAGGTCATAACCTTTAGCAATAATCTCCTGCCAGCCAAGTTTGTAGTAGTTCTGAAATGACAAATCACATATGTAAACAACAGAAGAAATGAATACTGAATATGTTTGGCATTGATCTACTACATATTTAAACACACACATTTCTGCACATATAGTATATGTCTGCGTATACTATACACGGCTATATCTATAATTTCATGGTTTGGGGCAAATTAATTTACACATGCCCAAAATGACTGCTTAAAAAGTGTGCTATGAGAAAAAAGTTGGCTTATATAATTTAAAAAAGTGATTTGTCAGTATATTTACGGCTTACATTGCTGATGTTGTAGGCATTGCACTTGGCCTGGAGAAACTCAGGAACATCAGGAGGCAGAGAGTATTTCTGATGGATCTCCTCTAGACCTCTCTTGTAGAACAACTGCAAGGTGAGAAGTCAAATGTGCTTTAGATCAAACTAAAACTAAAACAATATTCACAAAAGTGATCTTAGAAAAAAAAAGTGCATAATAAACCATTAGAGTGAAAGAATACTCACATCACTCCTCTGAAGCTGGTTGACTTTGGCCTGCATCATGATTGGGTGGTCATCAATAGATGTAAAGGGGATTGTGTCTGGGTGTTGTCTGTATTTTTTCTGTAGGAAACAAGTAAATGAAGGTGTTATGTGACATACCCCAACAACCCTCAGTTACGTTTGTAAAGAGGGAGTAAGTGTATACAAGTAGATTGAAGTGATACGCATATACCTCACTAAGGATCTCCCCAGCTTTCTTATTCTTTTCCACATCCATGGAGCCAAAGGTGATCCATGGGGAACCTTTGGTATAGGTGTTGTAGTCAGACTTGTACTCATTCTGTAATACAGAAAAACAAAACAAATCCAAATGATGTCACAGAGCACATAATGAATAGCAATGCAAGTTTTATATTATGATTAAAACCAAAAGTCTGTCTATACTTACGTCACTCTGGATGATGTTGGCTTTCTTGGCCAAGTCCAACAGCACGCTGTCGGGGGGAAGGAAGAAGTTGGTGCTGATGCTCCTATACCCAGCCATGCTGGCAATCCCCTGTGATTTCTTGGCCAAGGTGACTGACATCATATCCAGTGGTGTATGGTACTTGGTCTTTATCTTTTCATAGTGCTTTTTATATTCACGCTGTGGAGATACCAGTAAGAGATTGTTCACGGGTACTCTGTTTTCTTTTCTCAGCTCTGATAAATTAATATTAAGGATAATGTAAGTAATGTAGTCCTAAAAAAGGCTAATAGCTTACATCACTCTGAATTTTAGCCACGTGAACAGAGTGCAAGATCTTGGGATCGTCATTAATGCTGAGGGCTCCGACCATCTGTCCCTTGTTCTTCTCGTACTCCTTCTTATATTTAACCTGCAAAGAAGAGTAAAAGGTCATCAATTACCAGATTAATTAAAAAGTAACTAAATACTAAAAGTAAGTGAAAAATACAAAGCAAGCAACAAGGACTGAAATCATAAACCCTGATATTGTAGCATACTTACATCACTGGCAATGTTTGTGTGAGCACGGGCAGCAAGGATCGAGATAGCATCTCCCTTGACCTCAAACTTTTTTGCTTTGTTTTTCTCCCAGTCATACTTGTAACAGTTCTGCAAGAGAGAGAAGCATGTCATTCAGGAAATTAGAAGCTGATAGCAATTTAATTTCAGTGTTTGCTAAAGGTTACAGTTTTTACAAATAAGCAGTTACTTACATCGCTGAGGTTAAAGGCGTTTACTCTGGACTGGATGAAGAAGGGATAGTCTGGGGGCAGACTAGACTTGAACTTTGTTTCCTCATACTTTGCATGGTAGTTCAACTGCAAAAAGAACAAAGGGATAACATTATCTTTTATTTTAAAAACAGAAAAACACTTTTTCTGCTCATTGTACATTTACAGTACCATCTAGACAAGGCAGAAGTAAGGTAAGTAAGTAAGGTAAATTGTTATTTAATTTTCTGTCACTGGAGGGCAGCAGTGTATTGGCTGGACTGTATCTGAGATGTATTGACTGTCCTTTTCCCTGCCTCCCCAGCCCCTCTCTGATCACAGGGTTTATTCTGGGCCAACTGAATGCTTGATGCTATTTATACTACAGAGAGATGGCTCTCCAGTTTCCATGGTGCCCACAGAAAGACAGCTGGGCTATGTGGATGATTGGGCACATTTTAAGTTGATTGCATATCTAGGAGAATTTGATCTAAAGCATTAGTATTTTAGTCAATAAATAGGCAAAATAAAAAAGTGGTATGTTCACAACGACCTTAAATTAATCACTTATAGGATTCATAAGAATATACATACAGTGAGAGGGAATTCAAATGATACACTTTTAGGTAATATTACAGCAGTCTCCAGTGCTGATCCACTTGGAGTTTATGAGATGTACAGCACCAATTTCAATGTATTTTGTATCAGTACTAAGAGGAGGTGGTCCATGCAGTCATACGTACGTCACTTAGCTGTTTGGCGTTGATGGCGGCTTGAACCTGAACTGGCGAATCCACCACTTGTGTAAATTTCACTGTGCCTGGATGTTGCCGGTAAACATTCTGCAAACCATAAGACAAAAATGTTTTGTAGCATACATACGAGTAGACCAAACTAAGACAAATATGAATATGTTTTAATGCAAATAAGTATTTCATTAGTCATTAATACTCACATCGTTACACTGATTAAGCTTCTTCCCAGCTTCATATTCAGGTGTAATTGTTTGTGGGAAGAAGCATCTCGTTTTTATGTCTTCATACTCAGCTTTATATTGTTGCTGCAAGATAAAATATAAAAATTGTGAGGAAAGATATAATATAAATATATAATATATTTTTTACAGCAGTGATTTGATTTAGAAAAATGAAAATGAAAAATAAAAAATGATTTACCTCACTCTTCATCTCCTCAACTTTCTGACAGTGAAGCATAAAGAGATCTTCATAGCTGCCAATATAGTGGCCCTTCACCTCATTGTCATACTTGTCTTTGTAATGTACCTAAAATAATACATGGAAAAGATATGCATTTAAAAAAAACAAAATCAATGATATTGGTTGTGATAAAAGGAAGTATTTTAACTAAAGGATTATTCATACATCAGTGAACTGTTTAAGTACGGAGTCCATCTGAAACTTGGGCGTGTCACAATAGTTGATGCTGGAACCTCTGGATTTCTCATAGCTGGCCTTATACACTTTCTGCAAAGAAGATATATAAAAAAACAGTAAATAGAAAAAGATTATAGAAATGATGATCAGTCCCTCGAATAAACAAAACAGGGTGTCACACTCACTGGCTAACTGCAAACAACGTGTCAGTGTCGCATTTGACTTGATTTAATTAAGTCCTTTTGGGCATCAACCCACTCACTGTATGTTTGGTTTTTATTTAGCATCACTAATATGACAATCAACTTAGAGGAGCTCCATGTCAGACAGTTTAAGTAACACCTACAACAACCTCAATCATTTTAGCAGTCACCTTGTTTTTTAGTTAGCAGCCTAAGAAGAGTGATTGTCAAATTCATGCCAGTAACATATCTGTCCACACAGGAAACAGACATGAAGATCAGTAATGTCAGATTGTTATAGCACTACTGTACTACTTTCTAAAGATTTTATAATTAGTTTTTCCCAAAATAACCTCTATAATTTTTCATAAAACCAGCTGTAATTCAAAAGTGTTCACTATGTAGGTTTCTTCAGACACCTACATCACTGAGGATGGTGCCAGCATATCTGAGCTGTCGGAGGAGAGGATTCTCTGTGGCGGGGAGCGTGTTGTAGTCAGACTGCGCTTTCCTCTTTTCATATTCCTTCTTGTAATGGATCTGCAAACCAGAAACAAGAGGAATAGCATGAGTAAGAAGAAAACAAAATGTTTTTTTGATCAGGTTTATTCACAAGGTTGATACACTGACTCATAAAACATAACGCTGGTTTAAGTCAGTCATGGTGTGTCTCTATCATCTCCTAAGATGACGCATGTTTGCATTGTGTGTTTGAATGTGTGGGAAGCTATGAGGTATACAGTAACTGAAAAAGCCTCTTCACATAATCAGATCTGTTGTTACTGGGGAATAGTGAAACTACACACTCAGTTTGTGCAGGGAGATTGAACCGAATGTAGATCTCTCAGTCATGCAGTGCATGTGTGGGCACAAAAGAGTGTGATCCCTGCGTCAGAGTGGACTCAGTATGTTGACTCACACTAACGCTCTGAGACACGGGTCAACTCTCAGTCGTGTCTTCCACATGAGATAGGGCCTATAAAAATACTCTGATACCTTTATGTGTGTTTTTGTGTGTACTTACCTCACTAGCAGCAATACGAGCCTTCTTGTTTGCGTCATAAACGGGCGTGTCTGTTTGCATGAAATAAATTTGGTCTTTCATATCCTCATAATGTTGCGTGTATTTTCTCTGAAAAGAGAGGTTAATGGTTAGTTACAGAAAAATGACAAACCAATACCATTGTGAAAATATTGCCCCTTATCTAGTAGAAAGCTCTTACGTTGCTGAAGTTGTCCATCGCCATCCTTGCGATGGCAACGTCGAAGTACGGCGTCTCGCACCATTGACCCTTCACATTTTTATTGTAATCTTCCTTGTACTTTAGCTGTGGAAAAACAAATAACAATCACCATTAGAAGATAGAGGAACGTATTAGATACCTTCATAAGTTTGATAAAGGACATTGGGAATGACTGGAATGAGAATGCACCACAGAGCGCCACAGGAAATCATTCCTGCCTGTGGTCATCAATCTCTATAA